AGAGGGGGGGAGGGGGGCACACGGTCCCTCTCGGTAGACACAGTCTTGGATACTGTCTAAAAACTCGCGACTCAATATGAGACAAACCGATGAACTTTACATTGCTGCCTTGTCTTCCCCGTCAACAGCACCCGCCTACATTGCCCTACGAAGTAATGCACCTGTGCTCCCGCAGGTGCGCGGTACCAAAAGCCTACCTCTACCACCTTGCTACCTACCGTCCGTCGCGTCCACCAGGACGATCTCGTAGCGCGTGCCGAGCCGGACCGGGAGGACGTGCGTGCAGACGCAGAAGCTCTCGCCGGGCGCGCAGCCGCCGCAGGTCGGGGACTCTCCCGGCTGGGTGAGCAGGGGTGTGCTCGGCATCTTGAAGGACACGTTGCCGATGGTGCCGGCAATGTTCCTGCCGAAGGCTGCGGGCCGACTCGGTTAACGTTTGCTGCCGACGGCACTCGTCCGCGCTTAAAACTCTGGTTCATGAGCCACTTACTGAGGAAATGCGGGTAGTACTCGGTGTCGAAGAGCTCCTCGTTCGTGTAGCCGTGGAAGACGACTTCCTGCACGACCCGGTCGTCGGGCTCGGCCGTCCCCAGCATCCGGGGGTCGTCGGGGGCCTCCAGGCTCTGCAGGTCCGTCGCGCACCGCTGGCCGGGCCAGCCTCCCGTGCAGGCCGGGGAGTTCATCACCTGGTAGCGGTCACGTTTTACAGCGTTATAGCGCAACATATTAGTTATATCAACATGGTGACACCAAGGTGAGCACGCTCACGTGACGGCTTTCCGTGGCGCATTGGTTCATAGCGCCGGATGTGCAGGCAACCCAACGCACGTGGGTTTTGGGAGATGCCAGATGCCGCGTGCGTCGGGTCGGGCGGTCGTTTCGCCATGCCTAAGTTTTGACGTCTTCAAGTTCACGAACTTCCAGAGTTTGAGCGACAATGCCTCATGGTACTGTATCCTTTGTACTTTTTAAATTCCCCCGGAGTGGAGTAGTGTTTGCTATGTGGCCTGTATCATGTTGAGGTTATCCGACTTCTCAAAGGACAGAACTTTGTCAGCGGGTCAGCCGCTCGCCTCGGTCGTTTCACCAGTGTCACCATGCCTAAAGTTTTGATTTGACGTCTTCTAGTTCGCGGACTTTCTGAGTTTGAGGAGGCACTGTTTTGTATGTACTTTTTGTAGTATCCCGGAGGTGTGTGGTCTGTATTACGTTGAGGTTATCATCCGACCCACCCGGCCTAATGTGCCAAGTGCTGTTGTGTCAGTGTGTGTCCGAATTCTCAATCATATGAAATATATTCCCTTGCTCTCAACAACTTAATTCACTTTTAGACAATCCCCAAGACTGTCTATACCGGGGGTCAAAGTCTCCCCCGCTCTTTCCTATTCTAGTTGTATGTAAACTCTGAACGTTACACTCACCACCCCCTCTGGTTGCAGCAGTCCGGGCCGCGCCGACGGCCTCGGGGCGGCGGGCAGGGTGCCGTCGGCCGCGCTGTCGTACCGGAGCACGGCGACCTGCTCGGCGGGGGCGGAGCAGGTGGCCGCGTACGAGTGCACCCAGAAGGCGTCGCCGTCCTGGTCGGCCGTCACCACCACGTCGTAGCGCTCGCCTGTGTCGAGAGGTAAGTAGAGGGCGATGCTCGCGGGACCCCGGTACAAACATTCGGGTTACTTTAATCTCTGCGCCACCTGAGAACGTGTAGAGGGTGTCGACCTCGAGGGGCTGCACGTCGCGCGAGTCGCTGGCGATGATGGTCAGCTTGTGGCCGTACACCCGGAACGTTAGGGGGCAGCTCAGACCGCCGCTGTTGATGACCCGGAAGCGGTACCGGAGCCCGCGCCGCACCCGGAACTCGGCCAGCGGGGTCTTCGTCCAGTTGCCGTCGGCTTGCTGGAACGTGCAAGAGGGTGGGCTATAGCTACAGCTACGGTGGCCACGGCGACGCCCTCGGCGTTGGCGCGCTCACCTGGAAGTCACCCTGGCCGTTGATGAGGACGGTGACGGGGGTCTGGCCGAGCGGCTTGTGCAGCCCCGGGAACACGTACTCGGCGTCGACGTGCATCCAGTCCATGAGGAAGACGGCGTGCTCGGCCAGGTCCTCGTCGTACAGGTCGGCGTGCGGGTCGAGGGCGCGGGGCGCGCGGCCCACCAGGACGCCGACGGCGCCGTTCACCTTGTGAATGCCTGCCCTGGCGGTCATGATCGTCAACACCTCTCTGACTGCTGGACGCGCGGCTGGGAGCCTCCTCGCGGGGGCCGCGAACACTGACCGTTGTGCGGGTGGTAGAAGTACGTGCCGGGCAGGTCGACGACGAACTGGTAGCGGAAGGTCTGGCCCGACGGGATGGGGCACTGGGTGACCATGCTGACGCCGTCCATGTGGGGTGTGTCGCGCTGGTGCAGGCCGTGCCAGTGGATGGTGTCGGCGTGGCCGGGCAGCCGCACCTGCAGGTCCACGATGACCGTGTCCCCGGCGCACACCTGGCAGACAGAGAGCACTAGTAGAGCGCGGGCGCGGGGAGGTCGCCGCCGACCTCGACACAGCGGAGACACACTCACATGCAAGGCCGGCCCGGGCAGCTTCCTGTTGATGGTGTACACGGTCCTCTCCACGCCGTCCAGCGGGACGCAGGCCCTGGCGAAGCAGTCGGCGACCTCGCCGTCGGCGCAGCGTCCGCAGGCCCTGCGTACCGTAACCACCATCCCTAAGCTTGGGCCGGGACCAGAAACGGTTTGTTTGGGACAGACAGTCGGCCACGTGCATACTCACGAGTTCAAGGCGTTGTAGATTTCCTCGTGGAACTTGAACTTGCACACCCTGGTCTCGCCCGGCACGCACTCACGGTAGCAGGGGCCTGGAACACACCAGTGGCGACATGCAGGCGCAGGGCACCCTTTGACCCTCGAAACACTCGAAAGCACACGGCACCAGCCAGGCTTATCGGGGACCTAATCACCCGAAAAAGTGCGACCACGTGACCGCGAGCGGAGAGCGCCAACCGGAAATGAAAACCTCGAACCAGCTGTCATTGGCGTCGTGTCTGGATCGAAGACTTTGTTCCGGTTCCGTTAGCGGACTTTTGAGCCCCTCCGACTCGGTGTCGTGTGCCACGGCCTTACCAAAGTCCTCGGCCGCCGCCACCGCGTGCACCAGCACCGCCACCACCAGGAAGACTGCCAGCATGGCGCGGGTCTCGTCGGTGTCCTCTGCGGGGACGTCGTCTGCTATCCTGCCTCTGTCGCCGACTATATGTCAGCCGGTGAACGACGTCGTTGTTTGAATGCCTCCGTCCCGTCGATCCGCGGGGTAGATATGCGCCTATGGTAAGACCCGCGGCCGTTTTGAAGGTGTCGCCCTTTATCGGCCGAGGATGAAGGTAAACAGTGGAGGCGGTGGAGGCCCCCGGTGGCCGCGGCTGCTGCTGCTGCCGCCGCTACTGCCGCTGTTGCTACTGCAGCTTCGTACGCTGTCGCCCTCACGTGTCGCGTGCTGCTCCTAGAGACAGGACTACGAGGGATCGGAGCAGGCTAGCCTGCCTACGTTCGTGTCTTTTCGACAACAGCCGCGTTCGTCCCGCGGCGGGTTCTTTTTTCCTGTTGGCGCCACCTTTCCTTTACCAACTCCGTGTGCCACCGCCGCCGCCGCCACCAACACCGTGTAATTTTCCCTCCCCCAAAGATAAGGGGCAGCCAATCCGCCCCGCGAGGTTACGACTACACCGCGTATGGCAGAGTTATTTGGTTTGGGGATCCGCGCGGTGACCTGCCCTCGCCGTTTGAGCTGATTGCGCGCAGATGTGGAACGAGGACCCCCCC